GATAGTGTGATTAATTCCTAACAACTTAGTGTAGAACATTTTTCTTGCAAAATATAATTTGGCATCATTATTATTTATGCCTTTTCTCCCGTCATTTCAAAAGTGAATGTTGAGCTTTGCCTGCGTGCACAGCTTTTCAAACGCAACGCGGAAAGTGACCGCCGTTAACGAGTAACAGGCGAACGCTCGAACAGATACCACGGTTCACAAAATATAAATATATATATAAGACTTATATATATATATCTTGTATCAAAACCATACGTTTAAAGCGATGGTGAACAAATTAATTTTCCAAATTCATTGTATTGTCCACCGTTAGTAATTTTACAAAACAACGAGACTTTAAAAATACATTCAAAATATATAGAAGGTCAATCTCACTTTGAGGAAACGATTCGCATATGTTTATACAATGGCGTGTTGGTTGGTTGTTTTTGATTTTTTAGAACAAAGCCAGATTGAAGTGTCTGCTGTGTCCACCACGGGGAATCAAACCTTGGATTTTAGCATGTAAGTCCGTATAATTACCACTTTCCCACCGGGGGACCAGTGACATGTTACTACGGATGTGAATCATAGTGCTACGGAAACATGTTTAACGCTATGTATCTGATTCACAGTGAATTATTTTACCCTTTGGTAGTGCAATGCTGCAAGAATAAAGTTATGAGTGGGGTTTGGTACACTCTTTTTTAAGGAAAGGTAGTATCATTGCGAGATTATTAAAAAAGGCAACAGCAAAGAACACAATATTTTCAACAAGAGGGATCTCATTTTCCTCCATGTAAACAGAAAGAACTTGCTCAGCTAACTCAAAAACAACACCATAAATCAAAACAGGTAACATTCTCATCCATAAAGTGAAGACTTAAGTTCACGAAAGAGAACCCTCTGATCCAAAAAGCCATTGTAATGATGCTAAACATATTTCTAATTATTGTTATTGTTAACTAGATATTAAGCAAGGATTTGAAGTTAACGTAGTCTCATAAGCTTTCTACCCACTCTCGAAATCAACATGGTTTTTATAAGATGACTGGCAAAACTGCAGTCGCAGCTATTTCATTGCACCACAAACCAATGAAGTCCCCCCGTACAAGAATTTTGTGTATTTGCTATACTTAAACGTGGTGTCTTAGAAGTCGGTGTCTATGGACAGTAGCACTTACGTGGAGACTTTGCCAAGATGTATATTATAAGATTGACCTTGCCGAGATGTATGTTATAAGATTGATCTTGCCAAGATGTATTTTATAAAATTGACCTTGCAAAGATGCATGTTATAAGAATGACACTGCCAAGATGTATGTTCTAAGACTGACCTTGCCAAGATGCATGTTTTAAGACTGACACTGCCAAGATATATGTTATACGACTGATCTCGCCAAGATGCATGTTATAAGATGTATCGTTGGGGAACTACTTTGAATGTTTCTCAGCAGCTAAATCTCCCCACCTGCCCTGTCTTTTGTGGAACCTAGCTGTTTCGGATTAGTTAGAGCTGTGTATTTACTTATATTATCTTGCCATGATGATCTTTGGGGGGGGGGGCTTCTTTTTACTTTTGCTTTCACCCGTTACTTGCATGATGATGTTTTTCTTATTTTCATGACAGAGGTTTGTGGTCTCCCATGACAGCTGTTATTTCATGGCGGACAGACTCATTGATTCTCTGAGCAGTACATAGGATGCTTAGCAGTCCTCTGTAAAATCTCATCACAAAGAAATACAGCCTTTTCTTTGTCTCAGTTGTCAAAGTCCATGACACGCATCAATAGAGGAGTGTTAGGTAAAGTAATTATCTAAGAAGGTTCACCTTTGACGGGATAGAGATATTTTTGTCTTTACTGATAACTTATTTGACTGCTGTGGCTCTGGTAGTTCTTCATTTAACCTCCTTAATCTACTGCAACTATTGACTCTAGATGTACGAATGATTATGCTCTGTCCTTTTCCTCCATTCTTGTTTTTAGTTTCTATTATATTGGTTATAATATATATTATAACCATCACTTATCTCCATTTCAAATTACCTTACTGTGTTACTTCTAGTTCCTCATCTGTTCCTGCTATCAGGTCAATCTCATTGGCCAAACAAAGGTTGCACACAGGACGTCTAATAGAAAGTGTTCCATTAAAGTTGCCCAGTACTTTTGTCATGATGTGTCTCAAAAATATGATGAATAGAGAGGGAGACAGCAAACACTACATGGCGTACTTTACCAGTTCTTTGGATTCAGGTACTTAAATAATATCATAAGAAGACTGCACTCTCAAACCGATGATATAGAGACTCAGTAATGTTAACAAGTGACTTGACGATGCTATGTTTTCGTATGAGTGGCCACAGAGTTTCGTGCCAAGCACGATCGAAGGCTTTTTTGAAGTTGATGATATTATAATAAACTTCCCTCTGATGTTCTAAAATGTTTCTCGCAGAAAATTCTAAGCTTAAATATTTATCGTATTGTACTTCTTTTGGGCCTGAAGCCTGCTTTTTCTTTGCCAATGGTGCTTCAATATGTAGCTTCAAATTATTCAGCAAGATGCGCAGAAAAATCTTGATGAGGTGGTTTACCAGGTTGAGTATATAAATAGGAGTATCAAGTAAAGCATCAGTGAGTTTAATGTTAATTGAATCTACGTCTGTACTTGAAGCGAACAACTAGCGTTTATGTGTTCCGTAAGTAAGGTATCCTATATTCTTTCTCTTACGTTCTTTAACAGTATTGGATAGAATATTCAATATATATCTAGTTATATTATTTTTTATTGTTATAGAGATTAATACGCATTGTTAGGTTAGTATATGAATTTAGGACTAGTATCCTAAGCTGGCCCAAACTCGTTAGATAAAATTGGATTTACGGCCAAAAATATCGTTAACAGCAAAAGTACCCAATTGATGAATAAGCACGTTTTAATCTTTATAGGTAAGAACGTACAAACCGTATATTTAATTAGATATACTTATTACTGAGTTGATTTTGATATTTGTTTTGGATCTAAATGAATAGCTTGCTGGCTCTGATCAAAAGTTAGTATTGGTTACTAAATAACACAGTGGCACAGCGGTATGTCTGCGGACTTACAAC